AGACATATTGTCCCATAACGCTCGCCATACTGTTGGGGGGAGAAGCGGTGGGGGGGAGATGTTTATGTTGCTGCGGTCTGCAGTCTGGACGCTAGATGTCGCTGAAAATTACACACTGTAGCTTTAAATCTTAAAGATGTTCACTTTGGACAGGGTGTTGTAGCTGAAGACACTCAAGGTTCCTCTGATTTGGACTCAGCTCCAAGATCTAATAAGTCTGTAAGACCATGTCTGCAAGATTTTGATGCAACAGAGAGTGGCTCTGATTTAGCCAACGTCAAAGATATAAAAGGGCACCAAAAAACCTACAGGAGCAGCAATCCAGGGGATTGCTATTGCAGTGGAGGAAAGTCCATTAGACACAGAGCTATGGGATACTTAGTTTGTCTGTATGAAATCCTTGCTCATTTAAATTATGTGCAAACTGGTTTTGCTTCCCATCCAGCAAGCTTTTTTAATTCAAAAATGTTTTCAGTGTGCTAGGAGATCAGAAGATCACCTTTTGAAATGTGTGATTAAGAAAGGTGGTTATAATCAGATTTACGGATTGTGGTTTTTAAATCTGGAAATAGGATTTGAAAATACTTTTCATATAGCAGTTTTTAATAATGGATTAATAAATATTTTTTTTAATAAATCAATTTGAAATGTAAAAGTAGAAAACACCTTTCAGACTGGATTTTCATTTGTATGACTTAAATGTTAATTTGAATTTTTTTTCAGGGAAATGTATGTTTGCAGTTTCCTTTGAATTTGCTATCAAATCGCGTATTTACATCCCCAAATTTTACTTCAAAAATGATACTGACATCCGTAAAGTGTGAAAATGAGCAAAGAGGAATACCTTGTGCTGCACCAGTTCAGGCAGGGACCTTCTGACATGCTCCTGCAGCCTGTAGAGAGCAACCGATGGCTCGTTAGCCAGGACGTTCATACTCTCCGTGAATTTGTCACTCACTGTGGATCAGAAATCCCCAGGAAAATGATAACACAAATGGAATATTTAATTTAAACATAATAAGGGATATACAGGCAAAGAAGATCATTTTATGAAAGCCTTAGGCGCTAGCTATATCATCTCATATCGCTACAACGTCAATGTTATTAGAAATGTGCTTATTTCATATACTTAGTTTTATATCTCTGCCATTTACCTCTTCTAACTTTAATTTGCATTTCTTGGTCTTCCATATCAAAAGCAACGTATTTCTCCCGTCATAAGCCAAAAGCGTTATCAGCAGCGTCAGCTGATTCCTACTTCCGTATTATTGTCCGTATGTGCATCACGACATGATTCCGTCCAGAAACACGGACTGTTTGTTTTTCCTCCTCCATGTAGATACTGGCGCTTAGATGCCCGAAACGAACCGCTGCTTCAAATGTTTTGTTATCTTATTTGTTCAAATTACCTATTTTTAAATTTGGTTCAATAAACGGAAAAACCTCAGGAGTGTTTCTGTTTCAGAAATAGCTCAGGAACGAAAACGATCGGGAGTTCAAGCTGAAATTGTTTACTTTCTGTTTTCCCTAAAAGGAAGTGCGCCTGTGAATGTGGCTGGATGAGGCGAGTGAATTTAAAAAAAAAATGTTTTTAAACTATTTTTCCTTAACTCTCACTTTCTTACGTGGTGACATAATTTAATATTATGTTGTTTTTATTTAGTTATGATGGAGATCAGAGATGATGAAGAGGTAGCAAATGGCCATCACATTCAGCCATCTAACGCAGCTGAATTGTCCTCCAGTTCAACACATGGAAATCCAAGCGGTATTTTATCCTACAGATGTGCTCACGTTCATGACGCATCACCTTATCAGTGCCATCTGATGATGATGACAACCTTAGATCAGTCGGACTGTAACACATTTCTCCTCCTTTTTTTGTTTTGTTTTGTTTTGTCTCTAGAGGAGGAGGATGACATCTTTAAACACTCCACCACTCTGACCAACAAGCAGCGTGGGAATGAAGTGACAATGCGGCCTGCAACACTAGACTGTAAGTAATCACACTTAAACGCTTGGCCTTTCCAAGCAAAGGGACACATGTCCATATTTATTTGGCACTTTTGATTGTTGGCCCAGGCAATCATAATAATGCAATGTTATCTAAAACCAGAATTGAATTTTCATTTGGTTGTAGAGTTTAAATATAAAACAATTCAGGAACCATGAAGGCTAAAGCATAATAAAAAACTGAATCTGTTGGAACAACATCATTTTCCAACAGTCATTTAAAAATGTGTGGATTAGAGAGAAAAAATTCAAAAACCCTTCTGTAGCAAGTTATTCTTTTTTTTTTTCAATAAAAGTCCTTTTCTTGTTTCTCATACTATGAGTTTATTCAGATAAGCAGACAATGAAAAGCATGTTATGTTCACGCATGTAAACATCATTCCTGGATCAATTGAATTATGTTGCAAACCCCCAACAGCTCTGTCCATTCATCAGCTGGCAGCTCAAGGCGATGTTTTACAAGTGGCTACACATATAAGTAAAGGTAAAGGAAAAGACATCCTGCTTTATGTTTTAAATACCAAATGATTCCACATTTCTGCACACGCAGTGTACTTTGTCTTATCTTGCAGATGGTTCAGTGCTCAGCAGACAGGATGATCGAGGCTTTACACCCCTCATGTGGGCTGCTGCGTTTGGGGAAAAAGCAATGGTGGACTTTCTCTTAGAAAAGGTTAGAAAACAAAACAGGTTTAATAGAAATGTAGTGCAATTTTCCATCAGTTTAGTATTAAGAAATTATTTCAAAGGGTGCAGACCCCAATACGATTGCGAGGGAGCGAGAGAGTGCCCTGACATTGGCCAGCTCTGGGGGATATGTGGATATCGTTGATTCACTTCTCAAACATGGAGTGGATATTAACACCTACGACTGGGTACAGTTGGATCTTTATACTTTTCCCTGACACATAATGAAGATAAATGTACAAAAGAAGTTATTATATATAAATAACAGATTTTTGTTCTTGTCTTTTATACCCAGAATGGTGGAACTCCTCTTCTATATGCTGTACGAGGAAACCACATCAAATGTGTTGAAGCTCTACTTGGTATGATGCAACGTCTCTTATTCATGAACAAAATTCCGAACCACTAATTTAAATTGGTTTATTCTAACAAAGGTGATCTGTTACAGCTAAAGGAGCAGATATGACCATTGAGTCAGACTCTGGCTACAGTCCAATGGCCTTAGCTGTAGCACTCGGACACAAAAAAAGTATGTATGCGCCTCGTATTAGAATCACAATCTTTAATGTCATTTAGTTGATGTAATAGACCTATACAAAGTAGTGGAAATCATTAAATTCTGTGTTTTTTTGATCCCCTTAAGTCAGTACCTTGTAGAACCACCTTTTTCTACATTTACAACTGCAAGTATTTTGAGCTTTGTCTCTATTAGCTTTGCATTTATGATTAGATTTTTGCCTGTTCTTCTCTTTATACATACTCCAGTTCAGTCAGACAGACTCTGATATGTTAATATGCTGTAATCTAAATCGGTTGTTTTGTGATATATATCTTTCCAACAAGCTTTGACTTAATAAAAACAAAGTTTTTCCAAATCAAAGTCTTCACTTTAACATAAAAGGTCATACAGCAGAACATAGATGCTACATGTTACACATCCCCCAAAGCCAGAGTTCTGTATAGGGATGACAGAGGATATGTATATAAAATTTGGTGTTGACCGCACTTTAAAAAGAAACAAACTTAAATTGAACCAATCTCTGTCCAAATATTAATTAGATATGCATACCATAGAGGGATTGACGTTAAGGA